ACAGCGTGTCAGACGATCTTAGCAATTTTTAATTAGAAGTAGCACTGCTACAGAATAATTGGTTGCTATAATATTGATGTTTGTACCTTTGCAGTTCAGTGAACTGTTTCGCTCCTTCATTCTTTTCCCTTTGAGATGCCAGTGCTTGAGCGTGCGCTCTCTCTTGCCTGGGGATGAATGCCAGAGAGGTTCTTCCCTCCATGAACCAGTGATGCTGCAGACAAACGTTGGTCCAAGTGGGATGTTTTTATTGTTTGGTATCCCTTTATTTGGCTCCTCTGAGCATTCTCATTATAATCCAGACCTTGTTCTTTCTGATTCTGTCTTGACTATGCCTGTAGCACCTGCTGACAGCCACTGAGCAAAACACATGAACACTGGGCCTTCTGTCCCCACAATTCTACAGTGCCTTCATGATTCTGCTAGCACCTGCCAGCATGAGAAACTAGAATTCAGAGTTGGGCTTCTGAATCTGGATAACCAGCAGAATAGTACTTTGTGGGCCAAGTTTGAATAACTAGTATGACACATTGCCCCATATTCTTCATAGAGATATTGTTATGATATAATTATGGCATGACTATGATGTACTTAATGCAATATAGGTCACGTGAGATATCACTGGAAAGGTTATGATTTACTGAGTATGATTATCCTATTTGTATGCATGTATCATTTTGGTATCTGAAGTTAGGAATATTGTCTATGCATCTATTACAAATGTGTTTACACGCGGGGAACACCCACTAGACAGAATGCAATCAGTCTAGATGGCTGGCGGGAAGGGCCATTAGGGAGAACAATAGGTCTTAGAATATGCTAATCTTCCACTGGGGAGCCTTTCTGAGGATGCTACAAACAGTCTCTGAGTCATGGCTGCTATGGCCCTACAGAGACATGTGACCAAGTCACCTTGTACTGGACTCCATCATAGAATACTAGTGTTTTTCCACTGACTGGGTGTGGGAATCAAACTGGTATACAAAGTTCCCACCGTACACAAAAGCTACTTAGGGCAGGGGAGTGACATCATTATGCTGCTTCTTCACTGACTCCCTGCCCAAGATGACAGCTGGAAACACCTGAGAAACAAGGACTGAATTGGGGGAGAAGGGTTGAACACAGGCTAGAGGGATTTCTAGTCTGTGAAAGGAACACCCGGAGTTTTAAGCTGTAAGGAAGTGCAGCTTGCCCTCAAGAATCTCTCCAAACTGTCTAAACCAACAATTAGGGTGAGAACTTGCTACTCATATCTGATTTCTTTAGTGTATTTTAAGCTTAGACTGTGTTTTTGTTTATTTGCTAGGTAATCTGCTTTGATCTGTTTGCTATCCCTTATAATCACTTAAAATCTATCTTTTATAATTAATAAACTTGTTCTGGTTTGTGTAAAACCAGTATGTGGAAATCAGAACTGGGGGCAAAAAGCTGTTGCATATCTCTCTCCACATTGAGGGAGGGGGTTAATTTTATGAGCTTATGCTGTACAGTTCTCTGTGCAGCGCAAGATGGTATAATTTTGAGTTTCCCCTCCAGAAGGGGTGTGTGCCTTAGGAACTGGGAGGTGTCTTAGCTAAGCCTTCCCATTCAGAGCTGATTTCAGTATCAGTGCGTGTAGCTGCAGCTGGGTCTCCCTACCTGTGTGCTGGTGAAAGGGTGAGCCCAGGAGCATGTCTGCAGTTTGTCACAGCGTTACCAAGTGAGTGGGAGCCCAGGCTGGTGGGTCAGAGGCCTCAATCGTACCCCAGTTCCAATTGGCACCCCAAAGGGGGGAACCCATCACAACTAGAACTAGCTAATCTATCTATCTTTTTCACCAGTGTAGGGTGCCTACTGTATACTAACAAAAATGAGCATGTATGTATTATGTTTCAAACAGCTTCCCTGGTCACAGGACTCAGTGCAAGATCTAGAGCTAGTAGCTCTTTTGAGTTTACTTTGGATTCTTTATTCTGGATATTGTTCATGGACATGTAACAGAACTTACTCTTCAGACAGCACATAGAAAGAGGTCATGACTATACAAATTACACAACTCCTTCCCACCTTGTGTTTCAGTGGCTTCCAACTAGCATTTGGCTAGTTGACAAGTAGAAAGAGGGTACGTTGCAATGTAAATCCAAGGTTAGTAGAAGTCAAGTTAGCAAACCCTGGGTTTGTTGGTCTAGGGCTTGAGCATCTGTACTAATTTGTAACCCCAGGTCAGGAATTATTGAACCCTGGGTTCCAGCATCTACACTGCATTATGCGGGCTCATGTCCAACCACCCATATTCCAGACTTCCTAGCGCCCTCCCAAAATATAACTACTCTAGCCCATTTTTCGTGTTACAGTGTGAACAAACTTGGCTGTCCACAGGACAAAGAAAGTCAGCCCCTGGGATTGTGGGATACTTTTGGTGGACTCCCAGAGCACAAGTCTAGAGGGGATGGTGTGGCTCTGGGAACCTGGCTTAGCACAATTTGTGTGTAGATGGAAGGGGAGTTTAGGCATGAGCCTGAGTTTGAATCCTGGACTTACATTGCAGTGTAGACACAGCCAGAGACTTTCTAACTGCCAGTTATCACACTCTGTCCAGGATATGAAAGAAGATATGTTTTCTTTAGCCTACACATCATAGAGATTCTGCAGTTGGAACTTGGTAAACAAGTCAGAGTCAGAAAATAAAGCAGTTCTCTCACCATACCTAAATCTGCTAGTCACTGCCAATAGGTATAAAAAAATCAAAACTTATTTTTGTCACTAAATTATGCCGATACAATGTAGAGTATAGTGAGCATATCCATTGAGCAATAAGCTGCCATTTGTATAACTAGCAGAGTTAAATAGGTACTTTAAAGCTTCTTAATCTAATTTCTAACAAATACATAGGAAATCTGGATTCAGTTTTCTAAATATAATGGTTCTGTCAAAATCTCTTAAACTTTCACTTTTGGGGGAAAGAAATTAAAGCTTTGGAAATGCAGTCTCTACTGGCTCAGTCTGGTCTGCTCTGAGAGTTAGAACCCTAAGAAGCATTATAAAATATATCTAACAAGTCCATCTGTATTCTGTCCTGTCATCAAGTCAGAGACAATGTCAAATTAAAAATTATGGGCTACTGGGGTTGCAAGTCAGCAAAATTTGGCGGTGTATTTAAAAACAAAAATTAACAGTATTACAAATATTCCTTATGTGCTGGCTGAATATCTTATTTTATCTCAATTTCTGCTGTTTACTCCTTGCATTTTCCTCAATCTGAATAACTTTCACCTTTGCACATAGTCAGTTGCAATTTCAGGCTCTCCATGCTGCAGATACTGCAGGGAGATGTGAATTTGTGTGCGTTCGTATTTTATTTTAATTGGTTTCCAGTGGAATTTTTGTATTAAGAGAAAGCATTTCTGTTACTCTGAGGATTTATAAAAGCTCGGTTTTTCAAAATGTAAATTTTTCACAAATGCAAATTTGATCTAATAGCATCACTTTAAATTGTGTAGTAGGTACCTTACATCTCTTCAAATGTGCTTGTTTAAAAAATTTAAAAACGGAGGGCAAAGAAAATCATTCAGCATATAGTAAAAAATAAGAACAGTTAATACTTTCATTAACTGAATGAAGAGTTAAGCCACAGAAGATTTTTAATTTAGATCTGATCCAAAGCTCATTGAAGTTAATCAAAAGACTCCCTTTGACTTCAGTGGGCTTAAAGTCAGACCCTTATTTTCTAGTGCCTATGTGAGTTGAAGTTAGATGTGGTAGCCCCCATGGGACTGCGGGCAGGGGCAGCGACAAGCATTCTTGGCATCTTGTCTATTATTCACTGTCTCAGAAAATAGACTCTTATGTTTAATCTATTTTAGGTACTTTGATGGCTGCCTTTACCATAATGTCTGAGCTCCTCATAATCTGCAATGTATTTATCCTCAGAAGCCCTCTCTGAGATAAGGAGTATTACCCCTATTTTACAGTCAGGGAACTGAAGCACAGGGAGGCTAAGTGACTATCCAAGATCACATAAGAAGTCTGTGGTAGAGCAGGGAATTACTCTCCTGTTTTAAGAGAGAGAAGCTAGCACCCTCATCTCTTGATCATTTTTCTTCTCAAATGCAGTGAGTTATTCCTGAGTTCGTAGTAGCTGTAGGGGTTTGATACAAAATCACGGCCCCTACCCTATTTACCTGTATTTAAATGTGCAATGCATTAGTTGTGTAATATTTATAATCAAAATAACTGCATCTAGCTCCAAAATTGATTTAGACTTATTTATTTGGGTCTTAGTGCCTAAAAAGGAATGCACAGACCTAGGCCTGAGTCTCTGTCTTGAACAGACATGGGCAAACTACGGCCCGTGAGTTGTTTTAAGCTGGCCCGTGAGCCGCACCACGCAGCTCCGCCCCATTCTGGCCAGGGCCCTGGGTCGAGGCCGCACCACGTGGCTCAGCCCCACTCCAGCTGGGGCGCTGGGTTGGGGGCTGCAAAACACAGTTCTCGGAAGCCACAGCATGGCCCTGCTCCGGCTGCTACATGCAGTGCCTGCAGATGGAGTAGCTTGCAGAACCGCCTGGCTGCGCCTCCATGTAGGAGCCAGAGAAGGGACATGCCACTGCTTCCGGGAGTCACTTGAGGTAAGCGTCGCTCTGAGCCTGCACCCTCAGCCTCTCCCAACACCCCAACCCCCTGCCCCAGCCCTGATCCTCCTCCCTCTCTCCCATATCCTCAGTCCTAGCCCAGAGCACCAACCCCACCCCAGAGCCTGCACCCCCTCCCGTACCCCAATCCCAATTTTGTGAGTATTCATGGCCCACCATACAATTTGTATTGCCCGATATGGCCCTCAGGGGAAAAAGTTTGCCCACCCTTGGTCTAGAACCAGGTGTTATTCTTAGAAGATGACTGTCATAATTCTTAGTACCTAATAGTCTACAGTATTTCTAATAGTTTTGCATTGCAGAATCACAGACTGCAGTTTCAAGGATGAGAAATAATAAACATGGCGCTTGATTATCTCTGCTGTTTTTAGATGCTGTCATGGCTACAGAATAGAGGACAAGAAGTAATGACATCATTCAGACGTATGCAATGGTACAATACTTACTGCTTTGTTAGTAGATGCTGCTTCTATGTTCTTCAGATTATGTTGGTGTCCTATAAATTATATTTTTGGTTCCGATTATGGAAGAGAAGTGCAACCTGGCTTTCAAAAATCTCACACCAAAATAACTAGTGCTCCCAATATACCGATAGAGTAGTTGGCTTTTCTATCTCTCTCATGTGTGTATATAGAGTCATTTACCATTTGTTTTCTTTAATTTTTACTGTAGATTCGTTTATAAAATAAGCAAAATAAATTGAGTAAATTTACTTGCCAATCATCTAAACAAGCAACAACATAATATTGTATATAAATATAATTGTACTATATCAAAAATACACGTTGTAAATGATGGTGTATCAATGCAAGCCTAATTTCAGTGACAGCCTTTTACCCATCTATCTAACACCACACTGTGCAAAATTAAATCACCATTATTCATACCCTCTTGTCATGCTGATTAATTATAGAGTATAATTAACTTTGTGCAATTTACAAAAGAAGGAAGCAAACACCTTTCATTATTCACCGTTTGCTGCCTAGGATTGGACGTCTAAAAGATACATTAAGTTAGGCATTTTCATGGATTATAACTCAGACAGTGCGTATGGCACTTTATAGATAGATACAACGTGGTCTCTTTCATGAGGCACTTACCAGTATGAATATATAAACTGTGTTAATTTTTAATGAGATTCTGCATCTCTCTCTTCCCCATCCTCTTCCCTCTACCTAATATAGTAATGTTGCAATATCAGAGAAGTCCCAAGTCTGTCCAGGTACAAAGGAACATACGCATTGGACAGCGATATCATAAAGACACCATTGTCCTCCCACAGAGAATGTGTATCACTGCCCCCTCCTTGATAGAATACCTGATCTACTCAAGCATCTGGTTGTCTTTCAATAGCTGCACCCTACAGTGGATATATGCCTTAATATTACTATATAGGGCCATTATCTCACCTCTGTCTTTGCATTGAACCCTCACTGGTGTTAATTTATCCCAGAAATCCTTTGCTATGGGATGTGGCAAATCAACAGGAATAAAGGCCAAGCAGTGTGTAAATGCTGAGTTTTTAAATTTTACTATTTCCTTCAGCTTTGTCACAGCTTTTTATGACTTTACTTGCTGTTGCAGGCATCCTGCATCTTTCAATTCGAATCAAATCTGATCTGAGAGAATGTGAAAAGTGGAAAGCCCTGTAGTGGGATTTGTAAGATCCTGAAGACAATGAAGAGAAACTGCATTACAATATGTTTTCCCCATCTTACAGAACCTGCAGAAGGCTTAACAAAATACTAAACTACTTCACCAGTGAAGACTATAGCACACAATGGGTAGAAGATAAAATGCAGATAAGACCCAATGGCTCTGTGCTGGTTTCATATTTTTAATGGTTTACTAAAGCAGGGGAGGGGAATCCTTTCCAGCCATTTTTTTTGTTTGTTTGTTTGGGTTTTTTTGTTCAATTTTCATTTCCTCTGTCCTAAATAGGATCTGCAATAACCTGGGTAATTTCACTTCCCCACTCCCCATCTCAAAACCACCTCAGTATTTTTGTTGAAATGCTATTTTATAACTATTTACAACTATACTCCAGTGACTCACGACCTAGTGAGCCTCACTAAATCCCACTAGGGGCTAAGATACTCACTGTGACCAGGACCGGCTCTAGGCACCAGCAAAGCAAGCACGTGCTTAGGGCGGCACGTTTCCAGGAGTGGCGTTCTGACCATCCTTTCCCCCCCCCCCCCAGCCCTGCTCAGTCAGCCAGTGAGCCCCTGCGTGGGGGCGGGGCAGTGAGCTCAGCGTGGGGGTCCCGGCCCGGGGGTGGTCCCTGCCCTGGCCTCCTGCTGCTGGGGGGAGTGGGGTGATGCAGCTCCTCCCCCACCCCGCCCACCCTGCCGCATGTGTCACAAGTGGCGGAGGAGCTGAGCGGAGCGGAGCCCGGGATCGGAGCAGGACCCACGGCCAGTAAGGGACCCGCTGCCCCGACCGGCTCAGTGCTGGGTGGGTGCCCCTGGTCCTCCCCCGTCCCCACGGCTGACCTGCTCCCCAGCTGTTTTGTCGGTTACTGTCCCCTCTGCGGGGGTGGGGCTGGGTCTGAGATCGGGCTGGGGGCCTATGGGCGGGATGTACAGCCCTGAGCACCTCACTCCAAACACTGCTATAGCATTACGCATTCTTTTAACATTACCAGTATCAGTGGCTTCTGGTGAGTGCAGTTTCTCAAAACGGAAATTACTAAAAAATTATTTGAGGTCCACCATGTCTCAGAATCGTTTGTCAGGACTCGCATTAACTTCACTTGAAAGTACCATTGCAAAAAATTTAGATTTAACTGAATTATTAAAAGACTATGCAAGTATAAAAACCAGAAAAATTCCGTTCATATAGATTCTTTTAATTTATGAGAAACTGGGTGCACCGGAAGACACTAACGTTTTTCATTACAGTGTATAGTTGAACCCAAATTGTTTTAACTGTGATTTTGTTAAAATTAAATGAATACACTAGTAGGGAATTGTTTTATTTCACTAACTACAAATTCTCTGTTTTCATTTTTTTTATTTTAAACAGACAAAACAAAAACATTGCAAAGTGCAAATGTGTAAAAGCCAAAATAAGGGGTGGCCAAAAAACTTAGGGTATGTCTACACTATGGAATTAGGTCGAATTTATAGAAGTCTGTTTTTTAGAAATCGGTTTTATATATTCAAGTGTGTGTGTCCCCACAGAAAATGCTCTAAGTGCATTAAGTGCATTAACTCGGCGGAGTGCTTCCACAGTACCGAGGCAAGCGTCAACTTCCGGAGCGTTGCACTGTGGGTAGCTATCCCACAGTTTCCGCAGTCTCCGCTGCCCATTGGAATTCTGGGTTGAGATCCCAATGCCTGATGGGGCTAAAACATTGTCGCGGGTGGTTCTGGGTACATATCGTCAGGCCCCCGTTCCCTCCCTCCCCCCGTGAAAGCAAGGGCAGACAATTGTTTCGCGCCTTTTTTCCTGAGTTACCTGTGCAGACGCCATACCACGGCAAGCACGGAGCCCGCTCAGGTAACCGTCACCGTATGTTTCCTGGGTGCTGGCAGACGCGGTACTGCATTGCTACACAGTAGCAGCAACCCCATTGCCTTGTGGCAGCAGACGGTACAGTACGACTGGTAGCCGTCATTGTCATGTCCGAGGTGCTCCTGGCCACATCGGCCAGGAGCGCCTGGGCAGACATGGGCGCAGAGACTAAATTTGGAGTGACTTGACCAGGTCATTCTCTTTAGTCCTGCAGTCAGTCCTATTGAACCGTCTTATGGTGAGCAGGCAGATGATACGGATTGCTAGCAGTCGTACTGTACCATGTTCTGCCGGGCAGGCAAAAGATGAGGATGGATAGCAGTCGTACTGTACCATCTTCTGCCGAGCAGCCATGAGATGTGGATGGCATGCAGTCCTTCTGCACCGTCTGCTGCCAGCCAAAGATGTAAAAGATAGATGGAGTGGGTCAAAACAAGAAATAGACCAGCTTTGTTTTGTACTCATTTGCTTCCCACCCTCCCCTGTCTAGGGGACTCATTCCTCTAGGTCACACTGCAGTCACTCACAGAGAAGGTGCAGCGAGGTAAATCTAGCCATATATCAATGAGAGGCCAGACTAACCTCCTTGTTCCAATAAGAACAATAACTTAGGTGCACCATTTCTTATTGGAACCCTCCGTGAAGTCCTGCCTGAAATACTCCTTGATATAAAGCCACCCCTTTTGTTGATTTTAGCTCCCTGAAACCAACCCTGTAAGCCGTGTCCTCAGTCGCCCCTTCCTGCATCAGAGCAACGGCAAACAATCGTGCATCTGAGTTGAAAGTGCTGTCCAGAGCAGTCACAATGGAGCACTCTGATGGGGCTAAAACATTGTCGCGGGTGGTTCTGGATACATATCGTCAGGCCCCCGTTCCCTCCCTCCCTCCATGAAAGCAAGAGCAGACAATCGTTTCGCGCCTTTTTTCCTGAATTACCTGTGCAGACGCCATACCACGGCAAGCATGGAGCCCACTCAGGTAACCGTCACCCTATGTCTCCTGGGTGCTGGCAGACGTGGTACTGCATTGCTACACAGCAGTACCAACCCCTTGCCTTGTGGCAGCAGATGGTACAGTATGACTGGTAGCCGTCATCGTCTTGTCCGAGGTGCTCCTGGCCACGTCGGCCAGGAGCGCCTGGGCAGACATGGCGCAGGGACTAAATTTGGAGTGACTTGACCAGGTCATTCTCTTTAGTCCTGCAGTCAGTCCTATTGAACCGTCTTATGGTGAGCAGGCAGACGATACGGATTGCTAGCAGTCCTATTGCATCATCTTCTGCCGGGCAGCCATGAGATGTGGATGGCATGCAGTCCTTCTGCACCGTCTGCTGCCAGCCAAAGATGTAAAAGATAGATGGAGTGGATCAAAACAAGAAATAGACCAGATTTGTTTTGTACTCATTTGCCTCCCCCCACCCACCCGTCTAGGGGACTCATTCCTCTAGGTCACACTGCAGTCACTCACAGAGAAGGTGCAGCGAGGTAAATCTAGCCATGTATCAATGAGAGGCCAGACTAACCTCCTTGTTCCAATAAGAACAATAACTTAGGTGCACCATTTCTTATTGGAACCCTCCGTGAAGTCCTGCCTGAAATACTCCATGATGTAAAGCCACCCCCTTTGTTGATTTTAGTTCCCTGAAGCCAACCCTGTAAGCCATGTCGTCAGTCGCCCCTCCCTCCGTCAGAGCAACGGCAGACAATCGTTCCGCGCCTTTTTTCTGTGCGGACGCCATACCAAGGCAAGCAAGGAGGCCGCTCAGCTCACTTTGACAATTAGGAGCACATTAAACACCACACGCATTATCCAGCAGTATATGCAGCACCAGAACCTGGCAGAGTGATACCGGGCAAGGAGGCGACGTCAGTGCGGTCACGTGAGTGATCAGGACATGGACACAGATTTCTCTGCCAATGCATGCATCATGGTGCTAATGGGGCAGGTTCATGCTATGGAATGCCGATTCTGGGCTCGGGAAACAAGCACAGACTGGTGGGACCGCATAGTGTTGCAGGTCTGGGACGATTCCCAGTGGCTGCGAAACTTTCGTATGCCTAAGGGCACTTTCATGGAACTTTGTGACTTGCTTTCCCCTGCCCTGAAGCGCATGACTACCAAGATGAGAGCAGCCCTCACAGTTGAGAAGCGAGTGGCAATAGCCCTGTGGAAGCTTGCAACGCCAGACAGCTACCGGTCAGTTGGGAATCAATTTGGAGTGGGCAAATCTACTGTTGGGGCTGCTGTGATGCAAGTAGCCCACGCAATCAAAGATCTGCTGATATCAAGGGTAGTGACCCTGGGAAATGTGCAGGTCATAGTGGATGGCTTTGCTGCAATGGGATTCCCTAACTGTGGTGGGGCCATAGACGGAACCCATATCCCTATCTTGGCACCGGAGCACCAAGCCGGCGAGTACATAAACCTCAAGGGGTACTTTTCAATAGTGCTGCAAGCTCTGGTGGATCACAAGGGACGTTTCACCAACATCAACGTGGGATGGCCGGGAAAGGTACATGACGCTCGCATCTTCAGGAACTCTGGTCTGTTTCAAAAGCTGCAGGTAGGGACTTTATTCCCAGACCAGAAAATAACTGTTGGGGATGTTGAAATGCCTATATGTATCCTTGGGGACCCAGCCTACCCCTTAATGCCATGGCTCATGAAGCCGTACACAGGCAGCCTGGACAGTAGTCAGGAGCTGTTCAACTACAGGCTGAGCAAGTGCAGAATGGTGGTAGAATGTGCATTTGGACGTTTAAAGGCGCGCTGGCGCAGTTTACTGACTTGCTTAGACCTCAGAGAAACCAATGTTCCCACTGTTATTACTGCTTGCTGTGTGCTCCACAATATCTGTGAGAGTAAGGGGGAGATGTTTATGGCGGGGTGGGAGGTTGAGGCAAATCGCCTGGCTGCTGGTTACATGCAGCTGGATACCAGGGCGGTTAGAAGAGCACAGGAGGGCGCGGTACGCATCAGAGAAGCTTTGAAAACCAGTTTCATGACTGGCCAGGCTACGGTGTGAAAGTTCTCTTTGTTTCTCCTTGATGAAACCCCCCGCTCCTTGGTTCACTCTACTTCCCTTCAAGCTAACCACCCTCCCCTCCTCCCTTTAATCATTGCTTGCAGAGGCAATAAAGTCATTGTTGCTTCACATTCATGCATTCTTTATTCATTCATCACACAAATAGGGGGACGACTACCAAGGTAGCCCAGGAGGGGTGGTGGAGAAGGGAAGGAAAATGCCACACAGCACTTTAAAAGTTTACAACTTTAAAATGTATTGAATGCCAGCCTTCTTTTTTTTGGGCAATCCTCTGTGGCGGAGTGGCTGGTTGGCCGGTGGCCCCCCCACCGCGTTCTTGGGCGTCTGCGTGAGGAGGCTATGGAACTTGGGGAGGAGGGCGGTTGGTTACACAGGGGCTGTAGTGGCAGTCTGTGCTCCAGCTGCCTTTGCTGCAGCTCAACCATACACTGGAGCATACTGGTTTGGTCCTCCAGCAGCCTCAGCATTGAATCCTGCCTCCTCTCATCACGCTGCTGCCGCATTTGAGCTTCAGCCCTGTCTTCAGCCCGCCACTTACTCTCTTCAGCCCGCTACCTCTCCTCCCGGTCATTTTGTGCTTTTCTGCACTCTGACATTATTTGCCTCCATGCATTCGTCTGTGCTCTGTCAATGAGCTCAGAGAACATTGCATCGCGAGTGCGTTTTTTTTTCTTTCTAATCTTCACTAGCCTCTGGGAAGGAGAAGATCCTGTGATCATTGAAACACATGCAGCTGGTGGAGAAAAAAAAAGGGACAGCGGTATTTAAAAAGACACATTTTATAAAACAGTGGCTACACTCTTTCAGGGTAAACCTTGCTGTTAACATTACATACATAGCACATGTGCTTTCGTTACAAGGTCGCATTTTGCCTCCCCCCACCGCGTGGCTACCCCCTCAACCCTCCCCCTTCCCCGTGGCTAACAGCGGGGAACATTTCTGTTCAGCCGCAGGCAAACAGCTCAGCAGGAACAGGCTCCTCTGAATGTCCCCTGAAGAAAAGCACTCTATTTCAACCAGGAGACCATGAATGATATCTCACTCTCCTGAGGATAACACAGAGAGATAAAGAACAGATGTTGTTTGAACGCCAGCAAACATACACTGCAATGCTTTGTTGTACAATGATTCCCGAGTACGTGTTACTGGCCTGGAGTGGTAAAGTGTCCCACCATAAAGGATGCAATAAGGCTGCCCTCCCCAGAAACCTTTTGCAAAGGCTTTGGGAGTACATCCAGGAAAGCCACGAATGCCAGGGCAAATTAATCCTTTCACATGCTTGCTTTTAAACCATGTATAGTATTTTAAAAGGTACACTCACCGGAGGTCCCTTCTCCACCTGCCGGGTCCAAAAGGCAGCCTTGGGTAGGTTCGGGGGGTACTGGCTCCAGGTCCAGGGTGAGAAACAGTTCCTGGCTGTCGGGAAAACTGGTTTCTCTGCTTGCTTGCTGTGAGCTATCTACAACCTCATCATCATCATCTTCTTCGTCCCCAAAACCTGCTTCCGTGTTGCCTCCATCTCCATTGAAGGAGTCAGACAACACAGCTGGGGTAGTGGTGGCTGAACCCCCTAAAATGGCATGCAGCTCATCATAGAAGCGGCATGTTTGGGGCTCTGACCTGGAGCGGCCGTTCGCCCCTCTGGTTTTCTGGTAGGCTTGCCTCAGCTCCTTAAATTTCACGCGGCACTGCTTCGGATCCCTGTTATGGCCTCTATCCTTCATGCCCTGGGAGATTTTGACAAAGGTTTTGGCGTTTCAAAAACTGGAACGGAGTTCTGATAGCACGGATTCCTCTCCCCATACAGCGATCAGATCCCGTACCTCCCGTTCGGTCCATGCTGGAGCTCTTTTGCGATTCTGGGACTCCATCATGGTCACCTCTGCTGATGAGCTCTGCATGGTCACCTGCAGCTTGCCACACTGCCCAAACAGGAAATGAGATTCAAAAGTTCGCAGTTCTTTTCCTGTCTACCTGGCCAGTGCATCTGAGTTGAGAGCGCTGTCCAGCGGTCACAATGGACCACTCTGGGATAGCTCCCGGAGGCCAATACCATCGAATTGTGTCCACAGTACCCCAAATTAACTGGGAATTGGTCCTGCTTCGAGCAGGGGGTTGGACTAGATGACCTTCTGGGGTCCCTTCCAACCCTGATATTCTATGATTCTATGAAATTCGACCCAGCAAGGCCGATTTAAGCGCTAATCCACTTGTCAGGGGTGGAGTAAGGAAATCGATTTTAAGAGCCCTTTGAGTCGAAATAAAGGGCTTCATCGTGTGGACGGGTGCAGGTTTACATCGATTTAACACTGCTAAATTCGACCTAAAGTCCTAGTGTAGACCAGGGCCTAGAGTCGGCCCTGACTGTGACTTACTGAATTATGCAACTTTACTTTTCTAGGTATTCTTGCTGTGCGCCTTGCTGTGGTATCTGAGAACCCTTCATACTTGCAGGGAGAAAGGTCGGTGAGGTCATCTTGTTTTATTGGACCAACCTCTGTTGGTGGAAGATACAAGCTTTCAAGCTTCGCAGAGGTCTTCTTCAGGTCACTTGCATGTACTTTGTCCTTGCACAGCTTGTCTAATTAAGGTTGATCTGATCTCTGGTTCTCTTCCCCCTACATCCTGAGCTACTGGGAGGTTGTATTATTATTTATTAGCATTAGAGACCTAAGAGGAAGAAGTGAGATTTACATTTTGTCTTGCTGCTATGAGACTGGTGGCTGTTCTAATTTCCTGCAGAAATTAGTTCTGCTGCTGGACCACAGCCGTAGAAAAGATTCCATCTCCCATCCTCACTAGTTTCACTGGCACCCACTGTATTCAGCAGAGTACTCTAGTAACTTACTCTTGTCAGCATGTGCTAGTTTATAGGGAGGCAGCTGTGTACTGAACCACCTGGAACTCTTCCATGGTCTGTCAACCTACCTTCTTGGGTACAGTACACAAACCCCAAATCTGCATGTGAAAGTGGCACCTGCGCAGCACTTTCAGTTGAATCAGAAGCCTAACCATCTGACCAGGACAAATGCCATGTGCATATTCAAATGATGATGTGTGCAAAATCATAAGCACAGATTTAGAATGTTCAGAAATTTGCCACTTAAACTGTGTAACCCACTCAGAGCAGTAATGATGGTTGGGCCACAGCTAGAGGTTGATGAGCCTGCTACCTTCTTAGCTAACAGATCTGGGTCTTCTAGCTCAGACAGCAGAGGCTCATTCTTTAGGTGCAGAGATGCCAAGTTCAGTCCCTGTTGCTGATCATCCACCCAGGAGTACTGGGTTACAAGTGCAAAACAAAAACTGTTATGGAAATTACAATGTGTATGTGATTCTAAGAGCCCCTCAGTGCTGCTGGCAAAGGGTTAACTGTTCTCTAACAGCAACACCTATCAGGCCTGACAAATTCACTACACCTAACACACTGCTTTCATAGGATTTACCCAAAACAGGTGGTGTCAGGTGTCTAATAAAAGCTTATGTCTCACTAATCCTCATAATCATTGCAAGAAGTATGTACGGATATTTAAGGAGTTGCATATATGCCCTGAAAATACATTTTAAAGTCTGTGTCCTACACAGAATTGACAACAAGGTTGTGCCAGACAAAGCGATGTATGTTCACTTGGCTGCCTAAGTTCATATGTAGATGAAGCATTGTAAATTAGCACAATGGAAGCCCATTTTGCATGCAGTATCAACATGAGTTTGTGAAAACAACCTGAAGCCAGCACACCACCAAAGAAACCACAGGGGTCATCCTGACTCTGGGACAAACCAAGGAGAAGCAAAAGGACACATCTTTATCCTTCACTGAGGAAACAAAAAGGACAGTGCTTTTTGCATTCATGAAAGTTGGATCCCAGCCATATCGGCTGGTGATGCTGGGAGATTGCTTTAGGTGAGAATTACTTTAGACAAGGCTTGTGGCCTTTATAAGTTGCATTTAGAGTCTAAGAAGCATGTTACATATTGTGTTTAATGTAACCATTTCTGTTTCCATCATTATCCTTATTCACTATTTCCTAATTCTTAGCCTTTGATGATAAACTTAATTATTTTCACTATAAATGTATCTCAGTGCTGTGATGTTATAAAGGACCTGATCCTGAGTTGTACCCGTCATGCTGTGTGTATATTGTTCCCTTTGGGACAGCAAACCTGGAAATTTCTGTGAGTGTCCAGTGACAGGGCTGGATACTACAAGGGACAATTTCAGAGGGGTTCAGGGGCTGGGTACACCTGTTGTTACCAGCAAGGCCAAGTAAGGGCTGGCAGAACCATGAAGAATTAGGTACCTAACAGACTGATGGTGCCAGGGAGCTGATATCCTGCAAAGCACAAACATGTCTCTTTCTGAGGCAGCGGGATAACAGTGTATGTAACAGGGGACACCATTTTTAAACTTGCTAAGCAGGTCCTGGAGATATCACCAGATGAGTTGATATCAGGGTAGTCAGAGAAGCTGCCAGTCTGATGTGAGAGGGGATTGCTTTCAAGGGATTAAAGCTATTGACTTTTCTTTTTAACTTTGTAATGTGGCTGAGAATGCCCCATCTGGTTTAGCTTATGAGAGGTATCTAGAAGTGTCTAGAAATGTTAAATGAACAATTTCTTTAGTTTAAATTACATTGTCTTTTTTAATAAATCTTGTTTTTGTTAAGATACCGTGATTCATGGAGTTTAATGATCTAATGGTCCCTTCAGGCTTTAGTCTGACTTCCTATATATATCACAGGCCATTAAATTTCACCCAATTACCTGTAACATCCTCCTCAGTTACTAATGGACTGTTAAGTACTTCATCATCCTCATATGACACAAGTATATCATCATACTGCTTTCCAAATACAGGACAGAAATATTTATTGAACATTTCTGCCTTTTTGGCATCATTATTAATAATTTTAGCATATCTCTCTAGGAATGGGTCTATACCACTGCTAAGATTTATTTTGTTCCTAATATAATTAAGAAACTCCATCTTATTGTCCTTAACCCTGCCAGCTGCCCTGCAGACATTCCCAAAGAGAAGAGAACCCCATTACCTCTCAGGAGAGGTGCTGAAGGGTAAAGTGTTTATTGGCCCTGTACCACGCACTCAGTCTTGGTGAATGGGCGTGGACAGAGAAGTCCACTTCCTGTGATTTGTGTTGCCTTCAGGCTGCAGCAGGTACATGTAACCAAGGAGGAGAGAAGAGTTGGAGCAAGTAGGGTTACATATAGGCTTCCATTTACCATCAATCTTTGATTTTCTGTGAATCATCTCAGCTCCTGGAACTCTACATGCAATATCTTTCTACTTCCTGACTGCCCCTTCATGGCCTGGGGTGGATCTGTAGTACCCTGCCTCAGTTCCCCCTTCACTTGGGGCTCTTCAGTAACTCCACAGAGCATTATGTGTCCAATAACAACACCCCTTTGTGGGGATCTGGTTTTATTAACATAGTATTCAAAAAAAAACACAGTCTCCCCCCGTTCAGGCTGGGCAAAGCCGCTCCTGCCTGAGGTCTGTCTGCTGTCAAGTTTCGAAGTTGGACACAGCTTTTCAGCCCTTCCCAGGCTATGTTCAGTCTCTCCCCTTAGCCCACCCTGGGCTCCTCCACCACTCCCTGCTCTCTTTTGAGCATTCACTCTCAGATCTTCCTACCTGGAGTCTTTCTCTGCCCTTTATCTCTGCAGAAACTCCTAAGTCTTTCTAACTGCAGTTTTTCACAGTGTCCAAGTGGCCCTTCAGCCCCAAACTCTTCCCTCGGTAGAGATTCTCCTGCCAGGGTCTCCTGTTCACTGCAGCCTCTGCCCCAGCTTCTTCCTCCTGTTTCTTCTTCTTCTTTGGTTTTGTAGCATAGCAGACTCACTTCCTGTGTCTTTGACCGCCGTGCAGTACCGCCCCAGCCCTTCCACGCACGGTATCCTCCGTCTGTATAGCAGCCCCGCCAGAGGACAGGGCTGGAGGCGGGGCTGGGGAGGTACAGCCATGCCAGAGGATTAGATCAACATCTTCAACGGTTGGGCATACTTGGAATTGTCCCCTTTTGTTTTGTTTGCCCACATTTGATGCCATTCCTTCCTTCGCTCATTTTTTATTAGGTGTTTAAATTCTGGTTTGCTTAAGGGGATCCCTAGGTTAACTTGTTAATGATTAATAGCCCTTTTTGTCTGTTTGTCCTCCAGTTCGTTGCCTGCTATCCCTACGTGCTCTGGGATCCATGCTAGTATTATGGTTATATCCAATTGCACCAGTTCAGTTGTTAGCAATAATATTTCATTCAGAATGTAATTTCTGTTGTCAGACTTGCTATTGTAAATTGCCTGAAACTTTGATAAGGAATCAGACAGGATGGCCACGGCAGCTGGCTGCACACCTAAAGCCCAATTTAGTGCTAACATAATCCCTGTCAGCCAGAGACAACCCATGCCTGCCGATAGTGGGGGGAACAGAGTGAGGGCAGCAGCCAGCTTCAACAGGGTTACTGAAGCCAGGCAGCAAATCTGCGGTGGCACATGAAACCAGCATTCTCCCTCCACACACACACACCTCGCCTCTGCTGTCAGCTCCGCTGTAAAGACCGATACAAAGTTAGTTAGCCTTATGGCTTTCTTGAGTCCAACTGAAGGCATGCAGAAAGCTGTTCCTGCTCTTCCTGTTCCTTTCTCTTTGAAGCAGTCTGTATAACTTTGGCAATAGCATCACCACTTCTCACGAATGTACTGATTTGCTATCTCTTGTGTATTTATCATTCTTTTCCTTTCATTTATGTCATTATTCCACATCTATCTCGGGGGTGTGTGTGTGTGTGTGTGGTTTTCAGTGATAGAATATTTTCCGATAGCTATAGATTTTGGTTTCTTTCAATCCTTTCTTTTCATTAAGATCTTTTATCCACTTCTGTACCCACATTTACACAGGGGAATTTTGAGTTTTTGTCCTACCCTGCCTCCACTTAATTCCCAGAAATCATTTTATATGAGCTTAGTGTTGTCACTTTCGCTATTACCTGGTACTTTGGCCCAAAAGGTTAATTCTATGAGCTTCATTCTACGAGTAATAAGCATTTCACTGGGTGCTATCTGTAGTACACACAGAGGTGTTGTAATGAAGACACCACATGCGATACGCAATGCCTGTGCTTAGATTTTGTCTAGTTTTTTAAAATTTGTGTTCACTGCTGACCTAAAGGCGTGGATTCCATGATCAATAATTGGTCTAATTAGCACTTTGTATAGCATTACATCATTTTCTTATCTGCTCCACAGGATGTTTCAGAGATACTTTGAACTAAATTAATTCTCCCTTTGCACTTTATCTTTATTTTCAGTATGGTCCCACCAAGTGAGCATGTTATCAAATATCACATCTAAGAATATGTAATTTTTCACTATAATCTTCTTGTTCCGATCTGACTCTTTATAGAGTGTTGCGGTTCAAATACAAGACAGGACAAGCTTTAAGCAAGCAAGCAGGCTGGTCTGCCGACGGGCTGGTCCGCCTGTCAGCTTTTCCACCCTCTCCTTTATTTCTCTCTCTCCCCCCGCGCATTACATACTCCAACAGATAAAAGGAATACACTGGCTTTGTATAATATTCTTATTTACCAATTTCTATCTACTGCATTCCTTGCTCTCGGGCCTTGAGCCCGGTCCTGGGAGGCTTCCCACGGTTCATGTCATCTGGCCGAGATTCCAAGGTTCATGCCCTTGAGAGGAGCCGTGTGTGCACTGCTCCTACACAACACTCTGGGTGTGCCCTGAATGTTGCCAAGTGCATGAACCTTGCATGAATGCTACAATAGAGACCAACTGCTCTCTGTCAAGCCCATCAAGAGGCTGTTAATGAGGCAAAGGTTGGCTGGACCAGTTCCTTCTTAAAAGGCCGAATCCACCTTGTGACACTACACAAAAGCATATGGAAACTGGTACAAATGTGAGTCCAGAATAAGTTAATGTGTTATGGGAAAAAATTTAAATAGGCCAAAAAACACATTCCTTAAATTTTAACTTTATTTAAATCTTTTGATTCTCAGTTGACTGGGAATAGTATACAATAATTCAGGCTATTTCCCACTAGGATTACTGGGAAGACTTGTAGTTCATGGGCAACTTTTTAATTACCTTAGTACAATCAAGCTACCTGTAGTTTAATGTTTGTTAGTCATATGAGTGCCAATCAAATGAGCTGCACTATCTCAAAACATTATGTAATGCACAAAGTAGTTAAAATGAAGAAATTACTTCAACCAAGAGCATCCAAACTTAGCAGCTCCCAGCGTGGTGTTGTTAACTTTCCGTTAGTTGGGGAGCTACACCTAATTAGCACATTGTAGGGACCACTGTGGCTGCTCTCACCTTTCAATAGGGAGACATCATCCACAAAGACTGAAGTTCCTAGCATGTGATGTTCCATCCTGACCCAAGCAGAATCCATAAGGCAAAAGCATGACCACCAGAGTTCTGCAATGCATTCTTAGGACTGCCTTTGGCAGAGTCATCTCAGATCAAAATGGAACACTGCATTCTGGGACTTGCAGTCTCTATCTACCACGCTTCCCTAGTAAAGACAAGATAGGACATGAGTTTATGTGACTCAGGCCACCCATGCCTATAATCTGACCATGATATTAAGTGTGTCCTCTCTGCAGGAATTTGTTTAGGAATGACAAAAACTGTCCCCCACTTTTGGCCTTTCAGTCTTTTCAGTGCTTTCCAGCAGCTCCTGACAGTCAGCTTCAGGAGGATCACGTACCCTGGATATGAATGACTTATAGAATCATTTATTTAACCATTAATTCTAAAAGGAGACCAGAACAATATCTTTACAAGCTGACACAGCCAACTCTTAAATACCAATTTAGTTAACACAAAAAAGAGCTGATATTTGAACCTTTGCGTGGTCAGAGTCATTGATAAGAACTGATGCCATTGGATTGTTTTGGAGGAAACATGAAAAGAGTTACAAGCAAATGGAAACCACACTTCATGGTCTCTGGCTGTCTCCTTAAGATTATAACAGAACTTAAAGGGACACGGTCAAGCTAAAAACCACATTTCCATCGAAAGTCTTTTTCCTACTGTTGCTTTACTACCCCAAAGATCATTATAATTAAAAGAGATTAGAAGGAAAATGTTCTTTTTCTCTTCCCCCTTTACCCCCTAAAGCTGCTGTTTGTGTATTTGACAGCACTTTGTGTGTCATCAGTTTCACTGTTTTGTTGAGGGCCAGTTGCACTTCTGGTCTCATGTTCTAGCCTGATGATATCAATCTTGTGCACAGGTGGTGGTGGGGGCGGTGGCGAAATCATAACACGCACACTCATCCGCAGTGCATGCAAGAGGGGGTTCACCAGTGCCATCAGACAGTACCTGCAGACAATCGTGCACAAGGAGGGAGGGAATGGGCCTGAGCATATTTAACGTTGCCACTTTCAGGCCCACTCCAAAGACTTCTAAAATAAGCAGAGATGCAAAGATACCCCTCTTTTTTTTTTTTTTAAGGAATTTTTCTAAAAAATGCCAGGAAATATTGTAGGACGGATGCTGTACCTGAGACTTGCTTTTAAAAATTTAGTCCCTTTTACAACATCAGCTTGGCAGTGTCCCTTTAATAAAGCCTGTATCTGCTTTGCTGTCACCATATGTTTTTTTCTGCCTCCCCCCACCCCCACACA